ACTTTGATTAGAAATAAAGGCCTAATAACTCATAAAATTGAGCCATATAAGTATATAAATTTTGATGGATAAGTACGTATAATAGATTTAGAAGTTAAGGTACCAATACAAATAGGAGGAATATATCTCTTAGTACCATGTTACATAGATAAAAGTATGGATATAAATCCGCATATACTTTTAGGAATGAGTTTTCTAAATGGATTAGAAGATTATAGTATAAAAAGAGAATGATTATATATTGTTCATAATGGACAAACTACATTATATAAAAAGAATTAGATGAATAATCAGATAAATTTTCCACTAGCTGTATATATACAAATTAATATTGTAGAAACAAATATAACAATTTGTGCTTTAATAGATACAGGAAGCGATAGAACAATATTTTAAAATTTTTTAATAAAATCATGGAATAATAATAGTAATATAAAGATAACTCGAGTTACAGGAGAAAGTACTCAAATAATTAATAATGTTGATAAAGTTAATATAATTTTTGGAAGTAAACGAGTAACAATAAATAAAATTTATAAATATGATAAATTAGAATGTGAGATATTATTAGGAAATGACTTCATACAACAATTTCAATATTATAAACAAAATAATTATATGATAATGTTATAAATACATTGTGGACACTTATTAAAATTTTTTAGAGTATTTAAACCTTATAAAGTTCAATCAGCTCATCGTAGTGATAAATGGGAGCAAAAATCAATTATTTATAATGAAATAAAAAATAAAAGAATAATATATAAAAATGTTCTAAAAACAAGAATAGAAATAAATATAAAAAAAATCATTGAACAACTAGAAAATGTTTATGGAGAAAATCCATTATTATTTTGGAAACCACATCACCCAAAAGCCAAAATAGAATTAACAGAAAATGTTATAATAAGAGTTAGACCAATGATATTTACTATAGAAGATACACAACAATTTAAAAATCAGATAAAAGAATTGTTAGAACAAAAATTTATTAGACTTAGTAATGGACCTCATAGTAGTCCGCCCTTTATGGTTATGAAACATTCAGAACAAGTTAGAAGAAAAGTTAGGATGGTCATAAATTATAAAGAATTAAAAAAATATACTAAATTTGATGGTTATTTTCTACCAAATAAAGAAGTGTTAATAAATCTTGCAAGAGGAAAACAATATTATTCTAAATTTGATTGTAAATCAGGATTTTGACAAATAAAAATGGAAGAAAATAGTATACAATATATTGCATTTATCACGCCTTAAGGAAAATATGAATGGTTAGTTATGTCATTTGGTCTAAAAAATACACCACAAATATATCAAATGAAAATGGATAATATATTTAAAAAATTTAATGAATTTCTAATTGTTTGTATAGATGATATATTAATATGTTCTAATAGTAAAGAAGAACATATAAATTATTTAATCCAATTTATTAGAGACTGTAAAAAAGAAGGAATTGTACTATCTAAAAAGAAAAATAAGAAATATAAAATTTCTTGGATTATCAATGGATAAAAGAGAGATAAAATTACAGACTCGTATATCCAAAAGATAGAAAGTTTTCCAAATAAATTAGAATCCAAAGAACAAATATAAAAATTTTTAGAATGTTTAAACTATGCGGAATGATTTATTGAAAATATTTTTAAGAAAATATATAAAATTCATGTTTTACTTAGAAAAATAAATACTAAGGGATGGAATGAAAAACATACAGAAATAGTTAAATCATTAAAAGAAGAATGTAAAAATTTACCAAAATTAAGGTTACCAAATGAAAAAGATAATTTGATCGTTAATACTGATGCCTCGGATAAATATTGGGCAGCAATATTAAAAACAGATCTAAATGAAATTTGTACATACTCAAGTGGAACCTTTAACCAAGTAGAAATAAATTATACTACTCATGAGAAATAATTACTAGCAATTATTAGAGGAATAAAAAAGTTCTCATTATTTTTATTATCCAAAAAAATTTATTGTTGAGACTGATAATTTTCAAGTTGCAGAATTAGTTAGGAATAAACTACCATCAAAACCTCAATACAGAAGACTCCATGGATGGCAAACTTATTTACCATTTTATAATTTTGATATAGTCCATATTAAAGGAGTTAATAATTCTCTTGCAAATTTTCTCAGCAGAAACATAGAATTTGTTGATGGATAAAGCCAAGATCATGGAATTATACCAATCTATCCTCTATATACAAAAAATGGCAAATTTTCTTAAAGAAGAATCTGAAGATATAAACTGTGGAGCAACCCAGATCTCATAGATATTCAACTCAAATATAAAAATATTGTTGAATATCACTACTGAACATCATAAATATGCCATAGGACTCAAAAATCAAGTTAATGTTATTGTAGCACAACTAAAAGATATACTGTCTGAGACAGATATACCAAAAAACTCAGAAATGAGTTTTCTAAATCAATTCCAAATAGGGACAGCTGGAAGCAGCAGTAGACCCAGACGTGACAACATACCAACTGATAATAAAGGAAATTCCATTTCTGTATCATCAACCAAGAAAGTTATGATACATGGAGATAAAAGAGATACCAAAATAATCAGTATCATAGACCAAGAAGATAAAATCCTTTTAGATCCAAAAGAAGAAAAATATGTCGAAATAGTCAAAATTGCTTATGAAATAAAAATGAGTGATTCATATTTCATTTCTCCAGAAAATATTGTTTATCCCAGAATAACAGCCATGGAAGGAGGAGACCCTTCATTTATAAAAATTATAGCAGACTATGGATTCATGGATTTGATTTATCCAGGAAAAGATTTTATTGAAGTTTCAAAGTTTTATGACATATTCATTAAAGAAGAATCCAGATTTGCCAAAGGAAGAAAAATATATTTGAAATTCTATTCAATCAGTCTAGAATATGATGGAGTTGTTTACTATCCAGTTGAACACATAATCTCAATTGGATATGTTACAGCCAATTTCCAAATTGATGTTATAGAAAATAATAGAAAAATTCCAACAGTGACAAAATCATGGATCAGACATAGAAGAGCACTTGGAATTAAAGCCATCTACAACATTGCCAAAAATTTGTTTGATAAAAAATTCTCGTGCTTGTGCCAATATGAAAATTGGATGAGGATATGCAAAATCAGAAATTTTAAAAGACTATATTATAAGATTTGATATACATCAATTTTCAGGATATCCTACCACTATGAAAGAATCCTGCCAGCTAAGGGAGTGCCCCAATTGCATGTGAAGAAATGAAGACAATAATAGAGCACCTTTATCAGAGATGAATGGAGAACAATAATACAGCTGCATGTGAAGATATTGAAGAAAAAGGACAATAATAGAAAAAGATGCACTTTAGATAAAAAGTGGAAAGCAACATGTGAAGATGTAGATCCAAGGAAGAAAATAATAGAGAGGCAAGTGTGCCTTGCAAATGTACTCAATGATGTAATAGAGTCTCATAAACTTGTATAAATAGAGACATTGCCATAGAGAAAGATCATCTCATCTTATCTTGAAATCTCGAGTTGTAAGCAATAGTTACTCAAAAAACCCATTCCCAATTTGAAAAATCAGTTTTCTGGAAATCCCTTTGTACCAAATAGATATCTTGTATAAATTCTGATAGAAATAAAACTCTAATATTTTTTATATGAATATGAGTTTCTAAATCTTTATTTCCATAAATTCTTGATAAATCTGATAAAAAATTTCCTTTTTATTCTAACAAAAAGAAAGTTTTTCTTTAACAGAAGTTTAGGATTTTATTTTTTAGAAGTTGATACGGTGAGAGCAAGTAACTGAAACAGTAACAATTCCATGAAAGTAGGAGGCCGTTGAAGGAAGCAATTTACAGATTCAAAGCTCGAAGGTCACCGGTTATAAGAATACAAGTCCAGATCAAACCTAAGCTAAAACTATTAAACTTTTGCTAAAATTAGAATGAATCTTTTTAAGATCTTAAAGAATCGTAGGGATTAATTGCATGATTTGATGATCATTTGAATAAATGTCAGGATATACAATTAATGGATTGGATAATTTATTAGAAAGAATGATAGAAGTAATAAAAAATATGCATTCTCAATTAGAAACTATGGATGCATCTTCTGAAGAATATAATATATTAAATAATAAATGTGAACAATATGTTGTAGATTATTTCAATTTATTAGATCATAGAATGAAATTATATTCAAATATTCAAAGTAGGGATAAATATAAGATAAAATGTTTAAAAGATTAGGATATATGTTGAAATATAGAAAGAATCTTTTCATTACAAAAAAGAATAGTGATAGGTCAAATAGAAAAATCTCACATATTCATCCTACTTAGGTAATTTTCTTTTCCCTTACCGCCTAATCCCGTCTCGTCTCTTCGTAATCCTAAATCAAGTGCCATTTATATAATGCACTTTAGTTTATGCTACATTACGTTCCCGATTGATTCAACTAAAATATTTTATTAAAATTCAAGTTAAAATTAAAAATTAATTTTAACACATTTCATGAGATCCATAATTTTTTAACTACACATTTCATCAATTTATTAAAATCTTATATTTATTTTTACCAAAGAGGGGTTACGCTTGAAATAGACTCTATATATCAACATCATCAAATTTTGACTAAATTAAATCGTAAATCTAATCCCAATTCCACGCCATGACTTTGTCATCTATGCTCAAAATTCATCGGACTTTTATCAAAATTTGAAGGTGAGACGGAGATCATTATCTTGAATCCATTCTTTACTAGTGGACTACTTGAGGGGGTTAAAAATTCAAATTTGAATAGTTATTGAACTTGTCACAATATTTTCATAGACTTTAAAAGTTTTTCGAATGATCGTCGAACTTATTAAATTGATATGCCACTTGGCTGCTAAGAAAATAGCTAATTGCATCTTAGTTGAAAAGTAGCCTGAAATGTCTCCCTCAAACTTCATTCACGCATCAAACAATAAACGTAGAAGTCAAAACTTGTTTATTGTTGGCCGTGTCAAAGGCTCTCCCAAACCCCTCCACCGGTGCACTTTAGCTTGTAATACACTCCGCGTACAGTAGTCTATTAGCCCATATATAGAAGCAGCAAATCAAACTTGAATCCAACGAACGAAATGAATCCAATTCCAATCCCAAATCCATAAAATTTCCCATAAATTCTCAGACATTTATCAGAATCTGAATCTCATTTATGCCACCAGAAATCTCAATTCATTCTGTAGAATTTTAATTCTTATTTTGATCATTTCTATACCTTTCCAGAATTATATACAATTAAACATCGGATAAATTTATATAAATTAGCATTTATTGGATTCTGCTTCGTTATCCAACTATTCCGGAGTTCTCCACTCCAGGTTCATACGGAACATATTCATCCGAAGTCCATTTAACCCAAAATTCCCAAATTGAAATCCATTTTCCCCAAACGCTTGTCTCCGTGTGACCGTCTTTCTCGCTCGACTTCTCCTTCCGCTTCCAGTTCCAGAATCCAGAGTTCCAGTCTTCCAGAATCCCAGATTTCCTCTTCACGGCTTGGCTAGTTGGCTTCGCAGTTTGCTCAGTTCGCTGGAGCCTCGAGTCCCTCCCACTGGCCACTGTCTCAGCCTCCCAGTGAGTTCAAAGTTCAAACACCGAGTGGCCTCCTTCTGTCGAGTGGCTACTGGCTGGCATTTTTGTTGTCGAACGAGTGAGTTCGAGTTCCCTTCCCTAGTGAGTTCAACTCTTTTACCATTTACATAGGCATTTACTTATTATAATTTTGATGGCTTGATTTTAATTGATAAATGGTCTTTTTTATTCTATGTGGGCTGTGGGGTATACTGTAATTGAATTTCAGAGAAGATCTTGGAAAGAGTTGGAAAGGGAAAGGGAATGGAACGGGAATGGAACAGGAATGGTTGACGCTGCGAGGGTTGAGTGTTACTATGTTAAAGTTCTTTGAAGAGGGTTTATCGCAAATTGAAATGGGAGAGTAGTTATATGAAATTAATGAACATAATTATTTAAATTTTGTTTCCAAGAATTCCAGAAGAAAAATAAAAATTTTCTGTATGTATTAGATTTATATAGATAATATACTGTATACATAGTGTAAGGTTTACCGGTTTACTTTCTTGAAAATGCAGAGTCATGAGTAAAATTTTCCTAATGCTATGCAGAGACATAGTGTAAGGTTTACTGTATATAGAAAATTTTCCTAATGCTATCTTCTATCATGTGTAAAATAGTTTATAGTTAATTTGAATAACTTAGTTTGATAGAATGATAGGTTACGGCAGGTGGGGTTTGGTTCCAAAACTGCCATGCACGGTGGAAGACTAAGCAATTAGAGATAGATTATGGCCTTCTCAAAGCCAATTATGATGCCCTTAAACTCAACTGTGAAACTCTTCAATGTGACAATGAAGCTCTACTTAGAGAAGTACTAAAAAACTCGTCTTAATTTCCGTTTGATCATCAAGACCAAGATGAAATCTTTTTATTTTTCTACATATTTTTTCATATTCTGGACCTGAAATAGTATTTAACTAATTTTTTGCCTCTAAAGCAGTAAGACGAATAGTATTTAACTAATTGTTTGAAACATTGTTGGTTTTGATGGTTTATAGTATAAATCTTTTCTATAATATATTTTGTTGCTGTTTTAATGTTAGTTTTTTAAGTTAGCAATAGGTCGCATAATACACTGTTGAATTTTGCATTTACATTGCTTTCACTGGAGGGCCTAATTTATAGACTTTGCCTCAGGCCCGGACAATCACAGAACCGACCCTGTTTCAATTTCTACTCTCTGTGTGCGTGTGTTTTTTCCGAAGTTTAGCTCGGGTATTGAAATTTTGGAGTTGTATTTGGTGTAGTAGAATTGAGAATTGAAGATGAGGTTGTTGAAAGTTGCCACGTGTAATTTGAATCAATGGGCAATGGATTTTGATTGCAACATGAAGAATATAAAAGAGTCAATTTCTAGGGCTAAAGAAGTCGGTGCCACTATTCGGCTCGGCCCAGAGCTTGAAATCACTGGCTACGGCTGTGAAGATCATTTCTTGGAACTTGACACCGTCACTCATGCGTAAGTATATGCCTACATGCATTTAAATTTGATTGAATATTTTTTGTGTGAGTGTAGGTATGCTATCTTTCTTTTATGGATTTCGGTTTACAACGGATAATTGAGTTGTTCGGAAAAGAAAAATGGAGAATTGAGTTAACTGAGCTCGAAAATAGTTAAAAAGCCTGAATGAGGATGGCAACTTATGTATAGTTTGAATTTTATTTACAAAAATAAAAGTGGAACGATGAGATTGCTATAAACAATCTGTTTATGGACACTGAATTGTGATCGGTGCAAAACTGCAAGTGCACAGTATCGTAGTTTTATAGTAAAGTGATGAGAAGAGTGTCGTCCTCAGGGATTGATAACTCACTTTTGACAAGTATCAAAATTATACTAATCTCAGCTTTGACAAAAGGATTTGTTCGATGGAAGAATTAATGAGAAAAATAACTTCTAGAAAATTCGATTTCACCTAGTCCCTCACTATGCTTTGCTTTTCTAGCTGAAAGAAACTAACTCTCTAAGCTTGTTAGCAGGGCCTGCTAAACCATCCAAAAGCTTCTTTCGATAGTCAATTGGATCTTTTCTTGAATATTAGTTCACACAAGAGAGTGCAATTAATAGAACAAGAAAGCATTAAGTGCAATAATTCCTCTCTTATCACTACACAGGTTCTTAATGGTCTTTCAATCCTATAATTACCTATGCTGAAATATTCAATGGTTTATCTTATAATTCCCTCTTTCGAAAGCAAATCACAAGATCCAAAACATCTAAATAATGGCCAGTTACTTAAAAGCAATAAGCAAGGAATAAATCAGACAAACTTAATGGAGAATTTCTTCAATTCAGCATAGAAAGGCAAGCATAATTGAAACTAGATTACATCGTTTTCCTAGAAGTAAAAGAAATTTAGTTCATGCTGGAAATTAAAAGCAATATAATCCAATTCAACATGACTTGAGTTTAGGTAATAAGAAAATCAAATTGGAAATAATAATTGTTGGCTCTTGGTAATTTTTCTGCTTCATGAGACTTCTACAGCATCCACCAAGAAAAATTAGAAATTTCTGTTACTTGTTAGTCCCCACTTTTCCATTTTTTATTATGCCCAATTTTCTTATCGAAAACTCTCGTTTTTCTCTTTCTTTTTTCTTCCCAGCTTATTCAGATTTTTCTTCTTCCTTCCTTAAATGTATTTGCTCTTGTTGTTATCCTCATGCGAGAGCCCCTCAACTCTAGGCAATCTCTCTGTAACGACTTCTCTTTTTTTTCTCCCCATCTTTAGCAGCTATCTTGCGTCTTGAGGATGAAGTCTGATGATATGATTATTGGGCCATCCTAGCAATTGGGCTTTATTCTCCAACATGATGGGCTGTTACTATGTGGGTCTTCCTTCTCTTCAAATCTGGAAATAAATTTAAATGATCACAATGAAGCTTAAAGTTGACAAAAAACAATTAAAATTGGACTAGAGTTTAAAGTCAAGAGGTGATAAAATGTATGAAATTATGCAAATCATCAAATTGCTTATAGTCTATAGAGTTATAATTGCTCGTTGCTAATATGTGAGCGTCTAGCATTAATTGGGAGCTACTTTATAATTAATAGCATGGTAACATTGTTGTCATTATTAACTGATTTTATGAAAAGTATTGTTACTTTAGTAAATCGAGATTAATGCAACCTTTCTGAAATGGGAAATTCCAAAGCATGATGTAACTATGGTTCTCTAGAAATATACTTCTTCACGGGGCCCTGTTATTTTATTTCGTCTTTTTTGCATTTCTTTTCAAGACATTGTGAATCATTTGCAGGTGGGAGTGCTTAAAAGAACTATTGCTTGGTGATTGGACCGAAGGCATATTTTGTAGTTTTGGTATGCCTGTTATCAAGGGGTCAGAGCGTTATAATTGTCAGGTGTTGTGCTTAAACAGAAAAATAGTGATGATACGCCCAAAGATGTGGCTTGCAAATGACGGAAACTACAGGGAACTTCGATGGTTTACAGCTTGGAAGCAAAAAGACCATCTTGAAGACTTTCTGCTCCCTATCGAAATATCCGAGTCTTTGTCTCAGTCAACGGTGCCTTTCGGCTATGGTTATATTCAGTTTCTGGACACGTATGTTATAATATTTCTACCGCCCCTGCTTATAATGTTTTCCATGTGATTTAGTTTTGATATTAAAGCTGTTTGATCTATAATTGAATGTGAATGGGTTAAGTGTCCATGTATGAATTTCACCATTGCAAATTTTCAATTTTTGATGGTGTAGAACTGGCAGATTATTAACCTTCTGTCATCTAATTGAATTAATATGGGGAGAAGATCAATGGAGATGCTGTGAGCATCCACATGTATTTAGACCAGAAGTCCTACTTTATTCTTTAACTTAATTGTTTCTTATTCATTCTCAGTTCTATTTTAATGTGCATTTATTTGTTTCTTTTGGGTCTTTGGCACGTGTATTGGACTTGATTCTTTCTGGCTATTCTTTTAATTAAAGATAAGTACTTGGGAACCTATGTGACCGTATATATACATGCATCGATTCACGTATTCCCAATTTTTTTCTCATAACTTGTTTCCTGATCTTCTAATACTTAGAATTTATGTTCCCCTCAGAGCTGTTGCAGCTGAAGTTTGCGAGGAACTTTTTAGTCCTATTCCCCCTCATGCTGAGCTTGCATTGAACGGTGTTGAAGTTTTTATGAATGCCAGTGGAAGTCATCACCAATTAAGAAAGCTCGATCTTCGCCTTCGTGCTTTTATAGGTGCTACACATACCCGCGGAGGAGTTTACATGTATAGTAATCAGCAAGGATGTGATGGTGGCCGCCTTTATTATGGTGGGTAGGATGCTCTTATTGATTTATCGTATTCCATACTCTGTTTATGAAACATATACTGTTTTTATCTGTTAACCTAGAAAGAATCAATTACAGTAGTTAGTTTCAACATTATCAGATTTCTTCTGGACTTATTTTATTTTTTACCAAACGTGAAAACAAATTGAATTTTCAGGATCTGTTGTTTGATAAATTAATGTTTCACAGATGGATGTTCTTGCATTGTTGTTAATGGAGATATGGTTGCCCAAGGTTCCCAATTTTCCGTGAAGGATGTAGAATTGGTGGTTGCTCAAATAGATCTAGATGCGGTATGCTGAAATTCCATCCCTGTTATTCTTTAGAACCATAGAGGTTGAAATGCTCATTTGTTTTGGTAATAAAAATCCTATAAATTGGTTAGTCACACCTCATAATACCAGCTGATTGGATTTTACTGGTTTGACTTCCCAGGGAATATTGCTTTGTTTCCTCTCATTTATTGTCAATAAGTAATGGTTTTCCCTTGAGCAAGTATGATTTGTATCTTCTGTGCTATTACAGCTGTGAATTTGGCCATGATATTGGGAATGATATGACCCTGATTTATGAGAAGCCATTAATATTCTAAATATATTTTACTGGGGATGCTATTTCAAAGCCAATCAGAACTGGGTGGCTAGAATAGCATATTAGTACTTTGATCAAATATCGCAGGCAAATTATGCACTCTTGCTGCTTGCATCTGTGCATATCTAATATCTCAAGTTTTTGGCAATTGTAATCCATTAGCCATTATTTTTTCTTTTTACCTAGTTTTAGCTGTCTCCGGTGTTTGATTCTTCATCTGATGGCAGGTTGCTAGTCTTCGAGGATCTATAAGTAGCTTTCAAGAACAAGCAAGCTGCAAACCGAGAGTGTCCTCAGTAGCAGTACCTTACAAACTTTGCCAGTCTTTTAATCTCCAAATGTCACTCTCAAGTCCAATTAAGGTGAGCTCTTGTGATGCGACCATGGTTGAAATCAAAAAAAATAACACACTGACTTTTAGGTGGGTGTTTTAACTGCCTCATGCATATGCTTCTTGTTGGAGAGGATAAAGCTAGATACCTTACATCAAGGATCCAGTATTAAATTTAGACTTATTCCACTTTTTGGGGTGAATGTAAATTGAAAGAAAGATAGAAAAACACTAACATTTTTAAATTTTCCTGCCGTTTTGGGATGGTTGGGATGTGGGCAAGTAGCTGTGATGCACGGACACTCTTACTAGGGCGGAAACACGTGTTGTGCCATGTTGTGTCGGACCTTGACACTCAAGGACATGTATCCAACAAGCCACGTATCGTGTCCTGGTTATTTATATATTTTTCAAATTATCAACACTTGAAGGATACTTTAGACAGACCCCTCAGGCAAGTGTTTGACAGGACATTTCATGTCCTATATCAAAAATTATGAAAATAAAGATATAAAATGTGAATTTTAAACTTTAGAGAATTAAAATCCACGTGTCCCTACATGTCCCGAATGTTTTCATGTCCTACTTTTTCGAAAAATCAATTGTTGGCGTGTCATGTCATGTTATTTCCGTGCAACTTAGAGTAGGGGTGATGGGAAGTGGAGAGAACTGTGGAAATGAAAATATGTTTACAGGGCACTTTTGGCCCTTATAAAGGGAATGGGCTGGATGTGGCATCATTCAATCGATCTTTTGACTTTCTAAGATAATTTCTTTCTTTTTCTTATAGCTTCATTCAGGCAACCTTGCAATGCTAAATCTTATTTCTCCTATGCAGATTCAGTATCATTCTCCAGTAGAGGAAATAGCTTATGGACCTGGTTGCTGGTTATGGGATTATTTAAGACGAAGTGGTGCATCTGGTTTTTTGCTTCCACTTTCAGGTGGGGCCGATAGCTCCTCTGTTGCTGCTATAGTTGGTTGCATGTGCCAGCTTGTTGTAAAAGGTTAGTTTGTCTTCTAGCTTCTTTAACTGTCTATGCACCAAGGATCAAGCTTTTGATGAGTGATGTGCTTTGTTCTGTATGTTTTCTTTAATGATTTCAACACTTATGTACATGAATAAGATGATTGTATAATAATGTCCCTTTAACACTCGTCACTTATCTTGAACTTATTCTCTTAAACAGTATTCACATTATCAAAAGGCTGAAGCCTAAATAGGTTGTATTTGCAGTAAGGTTCAGCAATGTATGACTGGAAGCTCATAGAGTTGTCAAGGGCTTGATTTGGGTGAATGCATATTTTTGTTCACTTGAAAGAGCAATTTATGATTATCGCTGTCTATTTTGCAAGTCATTGGATTGATAACTAGCCGTCCACTACTCTTTCCGTTTCTAACTTAAAAAGGAAAAAGGTGATATTTTTGTTAAACAAACCAGCAACAGGCATAACTTTGGTACTTTATTTACGTGTCGCTGAATTGAACTATTTATATACAATTTTGTCTTCTGCTTTGCTGCAACTTTGAAAGTATTACCTGATGAGTTTCAAATATTTAATTAGTTTATCTTAAGAGGACAGAATGCACATTGATTAGAGAAAAAATAAGGTATATCATTATTTTCCCATACATTTTAAAATGGCTAACTTAGTGTTTGAATTGTTAAAGATGGAACAGTGTTCAGTTGAGTATCACTGTTTTCCAATACTTTTGACATTGTTGTGTTGCTTGAAAATCTTCCAAAAAGACCCAATTTCAAGGGTGAGATTTGTGCAATTAAATTTGAGAAGTAATACTTTCCCACTGCAAGTTGCCTGAAACATTCATACCAATTAGTTAACATATTCTGCATGTCATGTTTTGTTTACACTCCACTGATATGCAACATGCAGAAATCGCCAATGGGGATGAACAGGTCAAAGCTGATGCTATACGAATCGGCCATTACACTGATGGACATTTTCCAACCGACAGCAAAGAATTTGCTAAACGCATATTCTACACAATTTTTATGGGATCTGAAAATAGGTAAAGACATATGGGTAGAATTAATGGTCTAACTTTTACCACCAAGAAATGCTTAACATATTAAATATTTTAAAGAGGACTCACTTTAGTTTGAACAGTACCGGAGGTTCAAGACATTAATGATCTCCTCTTCCTCGTTATTGTTACATTAAAGTTAAGAATCAGTTGATATACTGGACAATCAACCAATGATACGTTGTCTCTTATAGTTCTGATGCCACAAGAACCAGGGCAAAGGTGCTGGCTGATGAAATTGGGTCATGGCATCTTGATGTTTCTATAGATGGAGTAGTTTCTTCTCTGCTCTCTTTGTTTCAAACACTTACTGGAAAGCGACCACGTTACAAGGTAGAGGATAAAATGTATAAATTTTGTGTGCATGGTGCACCTCTACAATTTTTAGTTTTTATAGCTGGTCATTGATTTTCTCCACAGGTAGACGGAGGATCCAACATTGAAAACTTGGGATTGCAAAACATACAGGCTCGCATCAGAATGGTCCTAGCATTCATGCTAGCATCACTCTTGCCTTGGGTTCACAACAAACCTGGTTTTTATCTGGTCTTGGGTAGCTCCAATGTGGATGAAGGGTTACGTGGCTACCTAACAAAGGTACTTTAGATTTTACTTGCGGCCAAGGGAAATTTTTGTGGTTGTGAGCATTTAACTTACTTGGACTTAATTTAGCCAGTATATGAAAAAAAGCAACAATTAAGCGTCAATCAGAATCAAGAAATGAAGCCCTATTTAGCAATATTAAATCATTTATAAATGGTCAAACTTCATTTTCAACTAGAGATTTCAATGGACCCACAAGTACTATCCACTTATCTACCACTCAATTCGTATCATCTATTTATAAACTGATCCATTTGTAAATTCTTCCAAAATGGAGGCAAAATTGTATCCAGCAAGGGGTTATATGGGGCAGCCTTTGCATTATGCAATTCTGGATCTAGTTTTAGCTGGCTAACTCCATTCTTAATTTGTGCATTGCTAGCAATGTAACAATGATACGATTAGTCTCCTCCTAATAAGTTATTTACCTGTTAAATGCAGTATGATTGCAGTGCTGCAGATATAAATCCAATTGGAAGTATCAGCAAGCAGGATCTTCGAACGTTTTTGAAATGGGCTGCTATCCATCTTGGTTATTCATCATTGGCAGAAGTTGAGGCTGCTCCTCCTACTGCTGAATTGGAGCCTATACGTTCCGACTACAGCCAGGTATTTATAGAAATCTGGCTTACGACTTGCTATTTTTTGAGTTGACGTGCTTTTCCATTTCAAAACATGCTTTTGAAGGACTCTATATTCTTTTCTTCATCGTTTCCTCTTCTGGTCATCATAGCTCATGATATTCTTGGCTAAGGGGGTGCTTGTTCTGTCCTTAGAAATCCTTTTGTGGGTCGTCTGGCCGCTGTATTTCAACTTCAGCACCACTGGCTTGTCCTACATTTTGACATGTAGAATGTGAATTTTGTGGAAGTCTGATTGTTGTTTTGTTTGAACATAGCTGGATGAAGTTGACATGGGAATGACATACGAGGAACTCTCAGTATATGGAAGGATGCGTAAGATTTTCCGCTGTGGTCCTGTATCAATGTTTAAGGTTCGTGTCTAATATCTTAACTGTAAGAGACTTTCAATAAGTTAGCTTCCCGTTGCCCCAACTTCATTTTTGCCTCTTGTGCAATGGTTCAATTGCCTCAGACTGTCAGTACCCAGAAATTTCTTTTATATGACAAGAAAAAGACATTGTTTATACCCCACATATGACTTTTAAGCCAATGGCAAACATGTGGTGAATGGATGGATATCTTGATTTCCAATATTCTAAGTAGTCTATTTTGTTTCTGGATAGGAACAGTATCTGCAAATTTAATTTCCTTGTAGTACTCAACTGTCAGATTGCTTGGAATATTTATTGTGGTTGATGTAATTAAATGACACAGCATCGCCGACTTTTTGTGGTACATATTATTTTTCGTATGTTTTTCATTATTTCATTTTCCTGGCAGAATCTCTGTTATAGATGGGGTGCAAAATTGACCCCAGCAGAAGTTGCTGACAAAGTGAAGCATTTCTTCAAGTACTATTCCATCAATAGACATAAAATGACTGTCTTAACACCTTCCTATCACGCAGAGGTACTTCCCTATTTGCAAGCCTAAAAGAGCATGTTTGGCTAAGCTTGAGAAAAGTACATTACACTTTTGCATAACTTTATATAGGAACGTTTAGATATGTTCAATTTTTTTTTCCTTATTTCTAACTTAAAATGGTGTTTATTTTGAAAGTAACTCTTACATTTCTGTGAAAATAAGTAATTTATGCATTGCTAATTTTGACCAATAAAAAAATATTTTTTTAGAACTTTTATATTTACTTGTTAGCAAACATTTTAAGCTTAGCCAACGATTATCAAGTCTAAAATATTGTGCATTTTTCATTTTGACCTTGCGAAACTTAAATTACATAATAGCTAAAGAAAGAAAGATTACACAAATTTGCAGAGTTATTCGCCAGAAGACAATAGATTTGATCTACGCCAATTCCTGTACAATGCAAGGTGGCCATATCAATTCCGCAAGATTGATGAATTTGTAGACAATCTGAATGGTGATAAAGTCACTATTACAAACCAGGAAAATGCGGATGTTACTTCAAATGGTGGTATGGGTGTTGTGGCAGCAGGTTCCGGCAATCCTCGAGCTGGATTTTAGGTTCTCACTCAAAATTGGAACAGATATCATGTGGCATACATGGATTATTTACTGTCTCCCTTTCCATGCTTTTCATGTTGAATTTGTCTATCATGATACAGAACTGGAACAATAGTTTACTTGTATTATACGTTTGATTTGTCATTCTGAAAAACTGTTTTTCAAAACAAAAAAATTAGAAAACGCGTTTGGTTTAAAAATTTTTAAAATAGTTTTATGAGATTTTTTTTTTCAAATAATTTGATTATTTTGTAAAACATATCAATTTTATGCTAATATGTGTTCAAAAAAATATATAAATTTTAAAGTTGGTAAAAAAATAAAATGAAATCGTTGTAAGATTGAGAGATAGTACTAGAAGGATGAATTCTCTACTAGGGTTCTTAAAGGAGCTTGAGACGAGAAAGAGAGATGGGTATTGAAAAACTGTTTTTCAAAACAAAAAAATTAGAAAACGCGTTTGGTTTAAAAATTTTTAAAATAGTTTTATGAGATTTTTTTTTTTCAAATACTTTGATTATTTTGTAAAACATATCAATTTTATGCTAATATGTGTTCAAAAAAATATATAAATTTTAAAGTTGGTAAAAAAATAAAATGAAATCGTTGTAAGATTGAGAGAGTACTAGAAGGATGAATTCTCTACTAGGGTTCTTAAAGGAGCTTGAGACGAGAAAGAGAGATGGGTATTTATGCCCCTGTTTGATTACCATTAAATTAAATTACATTACATTTCATTTTTCTCTTTCCTATTTTCAATCATATAATCTTCCATAAAATAATATTACACGTAAATCGAAAACTTTACCTTCTTTTTCAACCACTCATTTTTCTAAAAAACACTATTCCCCCCATTACCATTTTCAGGTAATGGGGGCCAAACAGGGGCTATATATTGGTAGATTTTGTGTGATTTTATTTATTATTTTAATTTGTGAATTTTTAAGTTCATTTTCCTTGTTTCGAGTTTCTTTATGAACACACTCAAAACGTCAAAAATTTATTTTAAGTTTTATGTTGTAAAGTTATCTTTGTTTTCGAAAACTCATTTTTGAAAATAACATATCAAACACGTTTTAAGTAAATTAGAAAACTGAAAGTGGTTTCAAAATGACAAATCAAACGTGCTCTAAGGTTTCATTCATTCTTACATTCTCAATGATGCTATTTATTTGTTTATCTTGTAGTTTCAACCATTGCCCATCTTCATTTATAAGTCGAATGGCTCATGATAGGTAGTCAATTGGATGAATATCACGAGTTCTTATCAATGTGAGCAAGAAAAATGTTCACAAAGGTAATTGAGAAAGAGTAATGCCATTTATTATTGATATTGCTATACATATTTAAGAGATATTAAATGATAGACTCAATTAAATGAATCAAATAATTTCATTTTTAATTGAATTTGTCACATTATGACATTTAGACTGCCACCAATAATGTTAGATAACTTTATTCATTGAGAAAAGCAAAACACTTCACGGGTTTATATCAAGCGTGTTCTGGCATTCACAAATTGGTTCGATCTCGCGTTTCATTGAGGCTCCAATTAGAGACTATCGGGCCATGTCATTGCAGTTGCCCTTGTGCGCACATTTGTTTATGAAATTTGAATGGCAATGGAGTGGAGTTCGATTTTCGCAGAACCCATCATGAACGGGACGAACACGTGGCTAAAATCACTTCAAACTATTTACAAAAGTAATATGCAGTCCTTTATCCCATATAAAAATTTAACGTGTTATAATTTTTGTAACATGAGTAACATTATGTTATGTTTTTTTATAATGCATGTTACATCTTATTTTATAGTATTACACGTGTAAAACGGTGTTTTATATTTTTTATAATGCTGTCACATATCGTGTTGGTGTTACACGTATAATATTGTGTGTTATTCCACCATCACTGATCCCTCGCCACCATCAACCAACGACCACTTCGTCCACAATCACTTTGACTCAAACCCATCTCACTTCTGTTATCAGCGTTGCCTCTGTCATTTTCAACCACTACTATTGACTTTTAATATGCACATACACCACCATCACCGTCATCCCATCTACCGCCTACACAAAAAAAGTTGTCACCCCATCTCACCACCATAAAAAAAAATATAAAATAATAAAAAAAAATCCACCTCAACACCTTCACTTACACTCGCCATCACCATCATCACAAATTTTCCCTTTTTTTTTTAATCCAAAAATTCCGCTATTTATGTCATCTCATGTCACCACCACCACCACCACCAATATGAAAGCAATCACCATAAAAAAATTTAGATCTAAAACTTTTGTCAAAGGGGAGGAGTTGGTTCGAATCTAAAATTCCAAATATGGTGGCAGAAGAGGTGAATGTGATCGAAATTGTGGTGGTGTAGACAGGCTCATGGGGGTTTGATGGAGTAGAAGTGATATAGCCGACGTCAATCGCAGTTGTTGGATGGTATGTTAGAGGAAGATAATTGTGATGAAGGAGATTGTGGAAGTGGATCTTGAGACCATCTCCAATGGGATGGCAAATTTGGTATAAAATGCTCTCAAATGGTATGGCAAATATGGTATAATGAATAGTGTTACATAAAATTTGGTATAACACTGTTCATTTTCTCCAAATTTGAAGTTTTCAATTAATAGTTTTAATTTATTTATAATTGTTTTAATGTGATGGTTATTTATATTTAAGATTTATTTTTAAATTCTAATCAAGTAATAGTAATAATTATTTTTCAATTAAATGTGATTTTTTTAATTGTAGTACTCTGTTTAATTATTATTATTATTATTATTTTAATTTGTTACACCAAATTACATCAAATTTGGTGTAGACCATTGAAGTCCAATGATCAAAGAGAATGAACGTGGTCTAATTAGGGTTGGAGTAGTGATTCATTAACCCCATGATATTTGTTATTGCCACTTGTTAAAAATGCATATTCACATCTCTCTAGTGATTCAAAAGTGACTTCTATTAAATATTTAACAATGAATTTCAGCCAAATTTGACAATTACTAAAAATATCAAATATGCATTGTGCCGCAGAAAATCAAAATATTACGAATCCTTATTTGACTAAGGATAATTATATTTGTACCACGATTTTTATTTGCTCTACTCCATTATAAATACATACCAATTAAAGCACTTTTTTAATGGATGCACCACAATTATTTTACAAATATAACCTTAACCTCATTTAAAAGATAAAAAAGGAGGAGAAAATGTATACACACCATATTCATACCCCTTTCTCAATTTACCCTTCTCATTTGTTTTGATCTTGTTAGTCCACACCCGTTCTCATTCTTCTTGAGGTAAATTCCATTCTTGATAAGTGATAGGGATGGAATTAAGATTTTTTTTGTTTGAGGCATAGCGATAACTAATCAGAAAACAATATTGGAATAAAACAATAAAGTTACATGTTTTGCTCAAAAACTTTGCTAAGAAAACATACAATTAGATAAAACTATAAATGAGATAATGAAGAAAATAGAAAAAAAAGAATCAACAACATTATAATAAAACTTTAAACTACATAATTCGAACAATAAAAAATAATAATAAGTTCATAAATACGAAAAAAAAAAAAATTTATTTCGATAGTTAAGCGAGGAAAAACACAAATATGCTTCAATTTATTAAAAATAAATTTAAAAAAAAAATACCAACGTTATCAGGACTGTCTTTTTCAAATTTTTTGCATAACTTTCTTAGCAAAAGTACATTCGGAGATTTTTAAAGCATAATTTAGCAAACTAAACTTGTCAAAAAGTTAAGGGTCATGGGTCATGCTATTTGTACATGTCATTTTACATTTTGGGTTACCCGATCCCACCTCCTCTACTCACATGGGGGTCGGGCCCCCACGTCGTGGCCCCCACGTGGGACCCGACCCCATGTGAGAGGAGAAGTGGGATCGAGTAAATCAAACGCAAAAAGAATGAAATGTAAATGAAACACTTACAGACGAATTACATTTCTCACTTTATCGATGATTTTAATCGGTCTTGGCTTCTGGTATAGTTTGCTGAACATAATTTACGAACTCATTTATGAAGGAAACATATTGTTAAGGTAGATGAAGTAGGTGGAAGCTCAAGGATTTCAAACTCAAATTACGTACGCAACGCGTCAATGAACATCAAAACCTTGTAAACCAAAAATTACAAGTAATTCGAAAGGAAACATTCCTTTTAAGTGCCTTCAGCTCAAGAAAAAAACCAGCCAAGAAGGGACTCTGCCCTCAAATGACAAAAATTACATTACTCCTCTCCCCTAATAAACAAACCCATATTTTAATTGTTCTTGCTTCACTTTTCATCAGTAATTAACGGACTATAAAAGTTACCTACAGTTCATCATGGGAGTCGTCATCTTCAGAAGAGGATTCACCAGGAGCTCCACCAGATCTTTGATAGACGGCTGTGATGATTGGGTTACATACGGCTTCCACCTCCTTAAGCTTCTCTTCGTAGTCCTCTTTCTCTGCGTTTTGGTTGTCGTCTAACCACTCGAGGGCCTCCTTTGTTGCATTCTCAATCTTCTCCTTCTCGTCAGACTCGAGCTTGTCAGCAAGCTTGTCCTTGTCATTGATTTGGTTCTTCATGTTGTAAACGTATGTCTCGAGACTGTTACGAGCATCAATTCTCTCCTTCACCTTCTTGTCTTCCTCAGCAAACTCTTCTGCCTCACGGACCATTCTCTCGATCTCCTCTTGGCTCAATCGACCCTTCTCGTTTGTGATGGTAATCTTCTCTGATTTGCCAGTGCCCTTGTCTTCTGCCTTGACGTTCAAAATACCATTGGCATCAACTTCGAATGTGACCTCAATTTGAGGGGTTCCCCTGTTAAAATAGAACACAGGATTCAGTTCAGATGACAATTTTGACAGCAAGTAATTTAATAAATAATTCATACGAAGAATGCAACAAACCTTGGTGCGGGAGGAATGCCAGTGAGATCAAACTTTCCGAGCAGCCTACAGTCCTTGGTAAGACTCCTTTCTCCTTCAAAAACCTGTTATCAAATTGTCGGATCCTCTCAGCTAACGTTCAAACAAGCCATTTTTTGTAGGACATAATCATCCACTTATCTAACAGTACAAACAGGGTAAGAATTATTGGAAAACATTACCT